GTGTTCACGGTGTGTGTGTTCACTGCTGTGTGTGTGCACTTTGGATGGGATAAATGCAGAGCACTAATTCCGAGTATGGGTCACCATACTTGGCCACATGTCACGTCACTTCACTCACTTAAAATTTACATTGTTAATTAATTGTATTAATCTGCGATGTAAGTTGCTTTTACTATGGACTAGTTACATATTTAACTACAAGTACTGTGGTTAAATATGTAACTAGTACAATCTCTCATCCATTTCATTGTATCTTTTACTGAGCCCTTGTGAACCAAACCCAAAGCAAAACAAGTGTCACTCACCCTGAGGAAGGTGTAAAGACATATGGACATCCAGTTAGTCAACAGCTTCTCCACCACAGACTCGGTCCTACAACACATGAGAGATTTCCACTGAGAATCAATGATGCCACAGTTATCAGCAGTGTATTCATGTGATTACAGTGTACAGTGATTTTAATTCAAATCTGACAAACAGACTCGTCACTACTGACCTGCGCAGCATGAGTTTGGGGTTTTTAGTGGTGTACTGCTCCACCAGGTGACTAAGCAGAGTCTTTAGGATGTCTGTGAAATATTCCAGTTTGCCGTGCAGCGCCACCGTGAGGAGGGAGGCCACATACGCCCTGTCCCTCGGAGAGAAGGTGATGTCAAGTCCTGATCCGACAAGATTAGATGACCAGCCATTCCCGCCCTCCACTCTATAAAACACGGGATCACAGGAACTACAAATAAATGCCTTATTTAAGCAGAGTCTTTAGGATGTCTGTGAAATATTCCAGTTTGCCGTGCAGCGCCACCGTGAGGAGGGAGGCCACATACGCCCTGTCCCTCGGAGAGAAGGTCCGCTGGGCTTCCAGAGTGTGGATGAACTGTAGGGAAGTATATGACGGATATGAGATGAGGACACACCCAGCCTTAAAACCTTAATGGTCCATATAATCCAGTTCGGCTGTTTGACTAATTCTTTCTCACAGGTTTAAGGAAAGCCCACCTTGGTGAGGAACAGTTTGCTGTTCAGCAGGTTAGAGAGCTGAACCAAGCCTTGCTCCACTGTGGCCCGGCGACAGGCGGGAACGTCAAGGTCCCGTCTCAGAGGAGAATCACGGTGACCAGGGAAGAAAATCCTTTCGGAGTATTTACGATAATCCAGGACTGGAATCCCAGAGCCCATGAGATCACTGGACACATCCATCATCTCAGTCATCAGATCTGCACATAATACACACACACACACACGGTTTATTATAAAGGCATTTCAAGTATGTCGTCCGAGTCTGGCTGATGTTTATGTGGGAGCGTCTGACCTGTGAACTCCTTTTTACAGCGGTCTCGGACACTCGTCTCCAAATTCTCCAGTTGGATCTGGACTTTCTTATAGTCTCTTAGTGCTTGCTTGCTTTTCCTCCTGTTAAACACACACAAACACATATTAAATATAAAGGTAACACTTTACAATAAGGTTCATAAGTTACCATTAGTTAACTACATTAGTTAACATGAACTAAGAATGAACAATACTTCTACAGCATTTATTAATCTTAGTTAATTACAGCTTTTACTAATGTATTATTAAATTCACAAGTTGTGTTTGTTAACATTAGTTAATGCACTGTGAACTAACAATGAACAACTGTATTTTTATAAGCTAACATTAGCAAAGATAAACAAATAGTGTAATAAATGTATTGTTACAAGCATACCAAGCATAAACATATGTACTGTACACTGGGGTATCTGAGACAATACTGTAAATCAAATATTTTTAAATTCGAAAACAAACAAAAAGTTAGTATTTTGACAAATTTAATACAACAAAATGTTTGTGTGTTCTCAATGGTCTCATGCTTCATAATGTGATAATCAGATTTTAAACTTGTGGAGAATAATAAATTGTATTACTATTATTATTATTATTATTATTATCATCATCATCATCACTTTTTGATCCCAACGCAAGTCTAAAATTAGTAATAAACTGTATAATCTGTGTGGGAATACCTGTATATGAGTACGATAACCAGCACAATAAGAGCCACGATGGAGGCTCCCACCCCGACTCCCACCTGGGCCTCCAGAGGGAACGCAGTCGGGCCCTGAGAATCATACTGCACCCGTCCCAGAGAAAAGTTCAGATTCCCCATCCTCACCTACACAAACATACACAAAAAAGCGGGGAAGCATTGACAAGTTTGTGTGTGTGTGTCTGCAATCTCCGACTCTCTCTCCCTCCCTCTCACTCTCTCTCTGTGCATGTGTGCGATTGATGTGTGTGGGTTTGTGTGCATCAATTAAAGCAGCACATTAATATGGAACGGTGATTAAACCGACTTGGAACTACCTGTGCATTAAAGAGTTTTAATGCATACCTGCCAGCCAATCAGAATCGAGAATTCAGGCAGACCATGGTACAGAGGTTATCCAGGAGGAAATGCACACTGACAGCAGCACGCAGGGCCTCGGGCCCCACCTCCGGAGTGGGACACAGGATCAGAGTTGAGCTGTTCACGGTGCACCGCTCCTCCACCTGATCAGGAACAGGACACGAGGAAACCAACTGTGTTACAATGACTGACATGTGCATACTGGACAGTTTGTTTAATGCTGTGAGAAAGCACAAGCACAGACTCACTTGTGTGAACTCTACCTGTTTGACGACACAGAGACTATCTTCAGGACAGTTGGGCTCTGGGATGATCCGCCGAGCTCTTCTGAGAAGACTGTAATCCACACTGCTCCTCCTCCTCCTCTTCTGTGAGTGCGGCTCCAGAGGCGTCAGGGTCACGTGGATACGAGGCTCCGGTACCACGTCCAGATGCAGGCCAGACACTCGAATGATACGACCCCCGCTTAGACAAACACAGATGTTGGATCTTATGTATGCTGGACTAATAACCCATTTTTATTTTCAAATCACAGATTATGGAAAAAATATAGCAAATCTTTCATTTGCTAATAGGTGAAACTGTGCATGTGTCTAATATATTACGTTGCTAAAACCCTAATACAAATCTATAACCCTTCTGTAAATTACAATAAAGAGTTTTTAAGATGATAAATCAAATTTTTTTTTAACTTTTGAAATAAAGATAGCATAAAATTACATATTTTTATATTTTAATTTTAAGAACAATAAGACAATTTATAGATACATTTCTGACATCAGACAGATAAATACATAAACATATGACTGCTCACATTTATGGCAATGACTCTACATGAATAAGAAATGAAGACTTAGGACTTATTTAAGTTTGTAAAAATAAAATCAAATAATTCAAATGAGATAAATTTACTTGAATTGTATTGTGTTGATAAAAAAAACATTTTTTTTCTTATTTGAAGCATATATCTCATTAAATTTCCTTCTTTAATTCACTAATGTAAATATATATATAATATAAATAAAATAAACAAAAATCCTTAAAACAAGATAACTTCATTGATTTTTATAATACTATTTTTGACTCCATTGGCAAAATGTTTAAAAGAATGAAGTTGTTTAAATATAATGTTACTCACCCGAGGAGCTTTTGGAGCTTTTTAATATAAATAAAATGAAATAGGCTACAGTATTTCCCCGACATAGGACAAGCAGTTTTGATAAAATAAAATAAAATAAAATAAAATCTTTAAAACAAGATAACCTTTTGATTTGATTAGTTTTCAGAGAAAATATTTTTCTCACTCCATTGGTAAAATGTTGTTTTCTTATTTGAAGCATAAATCTAACTAAATTTCCTTCTTTAATTTACTAATAAAAAAATGAACTAACATATTCTCTCAACAAACAAGTCTTAATACTTACTGCAATTTTGTATAAAAAATAAATGAAATAAATTAAAATAAAAAATAAAATAAAATAAAATAAATACAACTATGCTTAAGTTCTTTTACATGTCATGCTCCTCACCTGATGAAGCTTTTGGAGGGAGCAGCATGGGTTACGTTGGGGTCTGGGGTGTATTGATAGAGGACTTCCTGTAGGTGGCGCTCAGCTCTACCAAAGCGCACTGTAACGCCGCTCTCTCCGGTTCTGTTACTCCCTCCAGTCACACACTCAACACCTTCATTGTTGTACTGCTCAGGAGACCTGTTAACACACAGACTGTATTAAAACTCTAAACAATCTAACTTAGTGTTACCAAATGTGAACAGTCATAAAAGACAAAACATCCTGTGTCATTTATGGAGTATATTATATTCATGAATTGATATATTTAGGACACAGCTCACTGTTTTAGATCTACAAAGACTTCCAGCGTTAACAGAAGGATGATTAATTATTTATAACATAATCAGCTGACATGATATGAGTTGTAGAGATGATATCATAATGAGATTTACTGATGACTTCTGTCTGACTGGACGGCCGTAGAGGACGCTGCTCTACACAGTCACTTACATGTAACATGGGACTCCACCAATCAGGATGCTGATCTCATTGGAACGGCCTGTCAGAAGGTTCTGTCCCGTGATGGTGAGTGATGTGCCTCCTGACATTGGGCCTTTCAGTGGAGACACTCCCAATAACACTGGGTCCTTGAGTTTAGAAAACAGAACACGCGCACACACACACACACACACACACACACACACACACACGTTACAAAACACTGCCTTATACATGTGTGCTGTTACACCAATGACCCAATCCTGTTCGAGGCCTGAATAATACAGTAAAACTATCTAAAAACCGTAAAATAAGATATATTTATGTAACTGAATTGTATACAATTTTTACATTAAAAAAAATAAATGTTTAATACTGTACTTTAATACTTTACTTAAAGCCTTTACGTATAATGCATTATAAAGGGTTATTAAAGGGTTCATAATTATTCATAATGTGCATTATAATACATTATATCTTGTCGTAAACAATTATAACCTAATTTAAAACGGATAGTGTAACAATGAATTAATAAGTGTTATAATGTATTAACTGTGGTTACAATTATGTATAAGACTGTACAATGCATTATAAGGTGCATTACAAGGCATAATTAATGCATTAAAACTACTTTTAGAATGCATTATACATAAAGGCTTTAAGTAAAGTGTTACCATTTTTTTTTTAAATCTTGTTTTAACCATAAAAGCTCATATTATCTTTTGTTTCTTCCTTTTTTTCCTTTACATTGTGTGGTATTATTATCCTATTAGTCTATACACTCCTACACATTATTAAAAATCTTATTAAAGCCCCTGAATAACGCATAATATTTTGGTTGTGTTTTTAAGTACAAATATCTAAAAATCATTTAAATAAGATACATTTACTTCATTAACTTGTATAAGATTTACACATTCTTAAAAAAATTTTACCACATTCCCTTCAGAAACAAATAATCCACTGCGAGTTCAGTGGCTCAGATGTCGGGAGTAAATGAGGACTGCTATGTTCATTATTACATCTAACAACAGACCACCTAAATCGCTTAGGAGTCATTCTTGTCTACATCTGCTCCAGCGGTAAATCAATGGCGGACTGATGACAGCTCACTCAGGGCGGGTCTAAGGTAAGACGCCAGTCCAGTCTGTGCTGAA